TATATATTTTCTTTCTCTAACCCTTTTTGTTTACTTTTCTGCAAAAAACCCCCCTAATAAAACATTTGTAAAAGAAGAAACCACTAAAAGGCACAAACACTCTATCACTCATCCACTAGTGGGTTCTCCTTAGATATTAATGGAGAACCTACTTTATCTGGAGATACGTTTTATCTTAGGTTGTGGTGGGAGATCTCCCTATTAGAATTTCTGTGTGTAACTGATGAGGCATGGGATAAAACTTTGCTCCACTCCAGCAAAATCTGTTTTGAGTGCATTACTGTTTTAAAATGAAAGCTGATGATTTGCATTTTAAGTTTGCTATTCCTTTAAGGTCTTGCTTTGTTAAACACGCCACAATTGTTGAACTTTATGGGTTCTCTGACATTATGTGATCCAGGATATTCTACAACTCATCCCAGCTAGTGCTGCTTTGTATGTCAGATGAGTTACCATAATATTTTTACCTTGGTGTGTTATTATTCTGTGCAACATTTCATGTAACTCCAAATTTATAATGCCTTTCATAAAGTTTATTTGTCTAGACAGGGTACATGAATACAAAGGAAATAATTCTGTTAGTATCCACTACATTTATAATTGTCTATGAAAACAAAGTCTGCTAATTATTACATACTTCGTGTTTGACAAGCAAATTTTCTTTATTCTTAAGATTGAAGTGAAATATAAAACAAGGCAGAATATAAATGCTTTAGGAATGCATTGTAAATGGTGTATCCAATGCATTAAATATATTGATTATACTGGAGCTATTATGGAGGATAAAATGAATATTTTAAAAATATATAGAATAGCTATGTAGTGTCAGCTTATATTCATATCATTAGTGACTGAATAGAATTAGTAAATTAATAAGTATGATGAAGCATCATATTTTTCAACATAGCCTGAACACTTTAAAAGCCATATCATTAAGATAAAACCATAATATTTTAAATACACTGAAGATGATGAGTATTTTTTGAAGGTTTACTTAACCCTGTAACTGCCTCCCATCTTGTACCTCAGGTAGCTGGACCATTTTTCCAATTTCTTTAAATCTAATTAAAGCCTTGAAGATTTGTAAAAGACCATCTCAAACCATATATTTTGTGCAAGCTCAGGACATGAAGAATTATAAAGTGGAGCTGTTCATTTAGCATAACCCATGATTTATCAAATCAATAATTTAAATTAAAAATCATTTCTAACACAAACACAATAACCCTCCAAATTTCCAATTAAATCTAAAATATAAAACTACGCTGAGCTAATAAATAACAGTGTTTCTAAATTTAAAATTGCACATTTTTGTGTAAGTAAAAATTAAAGTTAGTAAATGCCTTATGAACATTTACCCCTTTATCCATTTAGTATAATACTAAAATGCAGTCACAAATATTATACCTACATTTTTAACATGTAAGGGGATAACCGATATGTCTATTTCAATAGGGGTCTAACGTATATACCAGTGAAGACAGGTTTCGTGGCTCACTCCATCATAGGGCAGATCCAGAGTTTAGTCTCGGGAGGGGCACTGCCAGAAAATAAGGTCCAAGCTGTAAATGGACTACAAAATTCAGCAAAACATATACAGCAATGCAGAATGGCACCGGCTATAGGGGACTACAAATTCCAGCAGTACATCATACTGCCGAATGGCAACTGGCTAAAGAGGACTACAGATCCCAGCAATACATTATACAGCAATGCAGAATAATATGAAGCTACATACTCTGTGCTGCTCCGGGGTGCTGGCCTGATTTCTCCACCGGAGGATCTCAGATGGGCTGTGGAGGATCTCAGGAGGGCTGTGCAGGGTATCAGGGGGGCTGTGCAGAGTCTTAGGAGGCCTGTGAGGGGTCTCAGAGTGTTCCCATCATCTTTTCCTCCTCACTTTCTATTCCTGCTTTAAAGGGGAACTATGGGGAGAGCAAAATGCACTAATTCCCATAGTTAGAGCTGATGTGTGACACTGCAGCTGTCACACGTTGGCTCTATAGATGGAGAACTGAGTGTTCACTATCTTCTCTCTGCAGAGAGTGGTGACTGATCCTTCCCGGCTGCAGCGCGTCTCTGCGCTGTCAGCATATAGCGGACAATAGTCCGCTATATGCTGAGTTTTGGGTCACAATCATTAACTTGAACGGGTGACAGCTGCTGCTTGTAAACATCAGATTAGGGATTTCTGCTGCAGGAAATCGCGAGTTCCTGACGCAAAAATCCTTAAGCGCACCTAATTTTACAGGTGTGAATGGGCCTTATTGTGGGTGTAATAATGTGTGTATTTCTGGCTGTGGGTGTATTATTGTGTGTGTGTATTTCTGTGTCTATGTGGGGGGTGTGCATTTTTTGTTGTGTGCGTATTTCTGTCTGCATATTTCCGTGTGTTTGGTGGGGTGTGCGTATTTCTCAGGGATCACAACCTGAAAGAAGCCATTTCAGGGAGGTGTCCTTCTCATTTCAGGGAGGTGCCCTCTACGCCCTCCCCTCCCCATCTGCGGAGGGGGGTTAGGGGGGCTGGGAGAGAGCACCCCCCTGAAATGATGGCAGATAGCACAGGAAGCAATAGCTTCTTTGCTATCTGCAGGGTTTTTTTCTGATTTTGTTTTTAGTATTCTGACAGTTGCAGTCTTCAGAATATTAAAAAAAAAGGCATAAGAATCCATAGCTAGATTCCTATTGGCTATTGCACTTTGCAATAGCCAATAGCAAAGTAGCTATCGCACCCGCCCTCTGCTGCTTTCAATCACCAGAAGAGGACCTGATAGAAAAATTCAGGTCCCCCTCTGCTGATTGACAGCAGCAGTGGGCGGGTACATTACCTAGTTTGCTATTGGCTATTGCAAAGTGTAATAGCCAATAGGAATCTAGCTATGGATTCGTATGCCTTTTTTAAAAATATTCTGACGACTGCAACTGTCAGAATACTAAAAACAAAATAGTGGGAGACTCCAATAGCGGGAGACTCCCGGAGCGTCCGGGAGAGTTGGGATGTCTGATTTCTGTGTGTAAAGAAATGTATGAATCTGTTGGTCTCTATGATTAAAATTAATACCTATGGGGAAAAAAACCCACACACATATACTGACACACATGTATACATACTGATATGACACACACAGAAACATTAACACACACCCACTAACAACACAAAAAAATATACTGACATTGCATACAAAGAAAACATCACAAACTCATATACTGACATTATAAATACACGTAGGCATTAACACTGGTACCGTATATAGTTACATTTTTATTTTGAAGTATGTAATGTTATGTAATTTGGCAAGCAGCCCCCATGGGAAAAGAAAATGTGTCCTGTGGTCCCCAAGTGAATTGAGTTTAAGACCCCTCTACTCAGGGCCGTCTTTAACGCAGGGCAAAAGGGGCAGTCGCCCAGGGCCTAATCATTGTTGTGGGGCCCAAAGCAGCTGCCCCTTCAGCCCACACTACTAGACCCTTGCGTTCTGTGTTAGCCACATAGTACTTTCCTGGTCCAGAGTGACGGCACACCCTTTTGCTCCCCCACTGCTTGTGTAACCTAACTAATGAGGCAAGAGCTGTCACAGCCTCTACTCTATGTTAGAGGTGTCAGTTCTGTAGCTGGCTTGGACCAATGGCAAAGCGCCAAAGCTGCCTATCTGATAATTTTGAATGATCCTGATGGCACATTGTGCATATTCCAAGATGACAATGTCAGGATTCATCTGGCTCAAATTGTGAAAGAGTGGTTCAGGGAGCATGAGACATATTTTTCACATATGCAGGGCCGGTGCTAGGATTTTTGCCTACACAGGCATTTTTTTGCCAGCTGTGATTTCCAGCTTACTTACAGCCATGGGTGAGATACAAACTGCAGGGAGATTGATCCTATAGCCTCCTGGGATGTGTGATGCTATCTCAGGAGCTTTCAGGCGGACCAAGGGGACCTCATCTTGGCCTAGGCAGGGAATGAGCAAGTGGCAGCAAGTACCAGCAAAAAAAAAAGCACTATTGCTACCTGGAAAAAAAAGTGATGGAGTGGGGTGAGGAGTGGGTATTGGACAGCTGTGTAGATGCAGATGGTATTTCTTTAACCACTTGCCGTCCGCCCGTTGTAAAAAAACGGACGGACGGCACTGCAGCATTGGTGGGTGCCATTTTTTTTCTGCTCGCGCGTGCGCCCCCTAACGGGCGCGCTCGGGCAGAAAAGACCCGACCAATGCAAACACCCGTTACTGGGTGTTTCACATATAGACGATCGGCGGCTCCATAGCCCGCCGCTCGGCTATGTGCTCGTTTTTTCGAACGTCATTCACCACAACCATTCACCCCCCGTGGCCGCCGCCATTTTTTGCAAAACCCCCCTGACCCCTCACCTTCAATCCCGGGATCCGCTGCCCCATCTGCGGCCCGGGACCGGCTCGGGAAAAAAACTGTCAGTTTGCCTTTGCTATTATATAGGGGGATTGTTATCCCCCTATATACTAGCAATAACAATAAGTGCAAAAATATATATATATATAAATAAAAAAAATAAAAAATAAGTCACATATAAAAAAGTAAAGTAAAATAAAATAAAAGCCACATATAAAAAAAGTTTTAAAAAACCCCCCCAAATGTTTAACTCCCCCACCCCCACGTTTACGCAGATATAAACGTAAATACGCGCCCAGTGCACCAGCGCACAAAAACGACAATTGCGCTACACACGTTACATATCGCCGTGAACGTCGCAGTGTGAGCAATCATTTTAGGGCCATCAATCACTGATAACACTAAACTGATGAGCGGTAAAAGCTTTTAAAGCGTCGCCTATGCTTTATTGATGCGGAAGACTTGTCTTCAACATAAAGTTTATTTGTAATATCAGGTTAGTTGTAAGGAATGTTTGTAAACTTTTAGTGGCGTGTAAAGAGTGACACGTGATCCTTCATCTTCTAATCTATACAGTGCGGCGCTTCAGCACCAAGGATAGCAGCCTGACACCTTCGCCGCTCGTCAGAGCCCCGCCCACTCTCACCCCTCCCTCTCTCCTGCACGGCGGACGCCAGACTTTGTGACGTCACCGATAAACGGAACGTTCCACCGGGACCCGCTTGCAGTGTCTGGTGACCCGAGCTCAGGTAATGACTGACCGGAAATCCTCATACACACCGTTGGGCGCCGTTATAGATCCGCGTTCATCATCATATGAACCTGTATTATCAGGTCTATGTGTGAGCAAGAAAGTTCCGTTCATTGTGCAGACAGCCACAGTGTATGTGCTCCGGTAAAGGCGTGTTCTTTTCCGCCTCACCTCCCGGTTTGATATAAGGAGTTAGCGGTGAGGTGTTATGGCCTGTGTTCTATGATGGTTTATGGTGATAATGGAGGGGGATCACACTGAAATCATGGTGGAATCCGTACAAGCTATGCATTAGAGTCTATGTGAACCTCAATCCGTAATATAGGACAGCTGAGGCTACGTGCACACTGACCCTCTGTCCTGGAATTAGAAGCATTGCCTGTCTGCGGGTGTAGCTGTGTTTAGGCCTCGCTCATACGGGGCTTCTTATGTCCAGCAGCAGATTCTTGCATCTGGGTAGCTGCAGCCTCCTGGTCTGTACAAACCAATGAAAGGATCACTGAAGCCGCAGCTGTCCGCTGCTAATGGCATGTACCCAGTGCACATCCAGAGGTTACCTGCGGCCATGGACAGATGACCAACTGTCACTGCAAACAGATTGTATTAAGGGTCCCACATCTGTACCTGGCCGCAGGTAACCTCTGGATGTGCGCCAGGGGAGACTCAAAGGATCTACCACATCCAGCTTGTCGCCCTGACGACACTTGCAAGAAGAATCAGCGAAAAAAACAGGAAAAAGTCAGGTAAGAATACCTGAGAAAAAATTCTTAGCTCCTTACTCCTGACGCTTGGGTAACTCTGGAGACCTGTCAGCAGGTGGGGGGTTTGGCCACCGGCAGGGGCCACCCCTAGGCTGTAATTTGTCTTTAGTTTTGTGCCTAGCGTCCTCCTGCAGGTGGCAATAGTACCCTACAGTACATGATCTCCGATCTGTTCCCTGTGTCCTTCAATGAACGGAGAGAAAAGGATTTTACGGTAAGTACAAAAATCCTATTTTTTTTTTTATGTTTAGAGGCTTCATATATACATGAAATCGTTATTCTCCTTCTTTAAAGTTTTTTTAATTTCCTTGTTCTCTAGCTGATCCCCAAACCTGTTGCGTGTATCTCCATCAGATATCTCCATCCATGTCTTTATGGACCTTGCTTTGTGCACTGGTTTGTGCACAGGCTTTGTTGGAACAGGAAGGGGCCATCCCCAAACTGTTCCCACAAAGTTTGGAGCATGAAATTGTCCAAAATGTCTTGGTATGCTGATGCCTTAAGAGTTCCCATCACTGCAAGCCCAACCCCTGAAAAACAACCCCACACCATAATCCCCCCTCCACCAAACTTTACACTTAGCACAATGCATTCAGGCAAGTACCGTTCTGGCAACCGCCAAACCCAGACACGTCCATCGGATTGCCAGACAGAGAAGCGTGATTAGTCACCCCAGAGAACACGTCTCCACTTCTCTAGAGTCCAGTGGCGGCGTGCTTTACACCACTGCATCTGACGCCTTGCATTGCACTTGGTGATGTAAGGCTTGGATGCAGCTGCCCGGCAATGGAAACCCATTCCATTAAGCTCTCTACGCACTGTTGTTGTGCCAATCTGAAGGCCACATGGAGTTTGGAGGTCTGTAGCTATTGACTCTGTAGACAGTTGGCGACTTCTTTGCGCCTCAGCATGCGCTGACCCTGCTCTGTCATTTTACATGGCCTACCACTTCGTGGCTGAGTTGCTGTTATTTCCAGTTGCTTCCTCTTTGTTATAATACCACCAACAGTTGGCCGTGGAATATTTAGTAGCAAGGAAATTTCACGAAACACCTGAATCCAATGATTTGGAAATATAAAAAAAAAAAAAAATATAGTGGGAAAAGTAATTTTCAGTTTCAGCCTGACTAATTTTGTGTGTTGCAGTGCCATTCATTTCAATGGATCCCAAATGCACCTCCCAATTGCAGTGTGATCGCCTGCATCGGAACGCGCGGTACTGCAATCCCCTTTGTTCCAGTGCAGTGAGATTTAAAAAAATGTGCATACTTTTTTATTCTAAAGTAAACTTTATGTCTGTAATGCTGCATTTTATTTTAAATAAATGGTGGCATTATGGTTTTTTTATTTTATCCGATTAATCAGTCAATAATTGGCTAACTAATCGATTATGAAAATAATCGTTAGCTGCAGCCCTACACCTTATGGTGACAAAGAATAATAGGCAGGGATCAGTTTGCAGTAACGCGCACTGGAACGCGCGGTACTGCAATCCCCTTCGTTCCAGTGCAGTGCGATTTACAAAAAATGTGCATACCTTTTTTTTATTCTGAAGTAAACTTTGTCTGTAATGCTGCATTTGTCTATTTTATTTTAAATAAATGGTGGTATTTTATGTTTTTATTTTTATTTTATCCAATTAATCGAAGTTAATAATCGGCTAACTAATCGATTATGAAAATAATCGTTAGTCTCAGCCCTACACCTTATGGTGACAAAAAATAATACGCAGGGATCAGTTTAGATTTTAAACAAAAAGCATGGTGCAATTGATAAAAGTGATGGAATTATACATTAAAGTGACATTAAGGTCACAGTTCACTCCCCCCCAATGCTGCTTTAAGGACTTAGCTTAAATGATGCCTCTTTATCCGATCATCTTCTTCCTTCCAGTAGTTTTCAGGAGTCCCCCCAGCACTGGTGCCGTTCCCTGATCCAGCACTGACTCCTGTGTCTTCTGGATCCCCGCTATAGAGCCGGCGGATCGCTTGTATGGGGTGCTGATCCGTGTGTCCCCCTCTCCCTCTGCGCTTCCCCCTCCCGCTGTCACCATGGTCCCGGGCTCCGCTGTGCCCGGTGCGAGCCCGGGACCAGCATAGTGCCTCTGTGACAGGGGATCAGAGGGAGATCAGTACACGATCTCCCTCCGGTCCCCTCTTCGCTGTCAGAATGTGGAAGTGATGTATATTTCATCACTTCCACATTCTTGTGTCATCTTCCAGCTTCAGAAGCTGATGAAGCAGATCTCTGCTTCATCAGCTTCTTCGGGCGGTCCTAGGTGACATTAGGGGTCTTGGAAACCCCTAATGTCTCCATAAAGAGGACCTGTCACATATCTTTGCTATCACATAGGGGGGTTTTATCAGCCCCCTATGTGATAGCAATAAAGTTAGGTGGAGAAAAAAAAAATTAAAGTTTGTAAAAATTTCTTTAAAGTCACACATAAAATAGAATACAAAAATGTTTTTTTAAAAGTCCTCAGCCACACAATCACGCATGCAAACATGCGTTGGGTGCGCATACGTGCGAAAACGACGATTGCGCCCATTACGCCACACATGCTACATATCACCACGAACGTCGCAGTGAGAGCAATAATTCTAGGGCCATCAAGTCACTGATAACACTAAACTGATGAGTGGTAAAAGCTTTTAAAGCGCCGCCTATGGTCAATTTTGGGTATGGTAGTTTTGTGCGATGTCACGGGTGCTCGCAATTTTAAAGCTTGACATGTTTGGTGTTTATTTACCCGACGTGACCCCGACTTTTATATTTTAACAAAAAAGTGGGTAATAATAATTGTTTCCTAACATAATGTAAAAAATACTTCTTCTTTTTTTTTTTCTCAACATTTTCAGTAATTTGTCCTTAATATAGTAAAAAATAAAAACCCCAGTGGTGATTAAATACCACTAAAAGAAAGCTCTATCTGTCCCCAAAAATGGTATAAAATTAATTTCAGTACAACGTTGCATGACGGAATAAATGTCAGTCAAAGTACCGCAGCACTGAATACTGAAAAATGGCCTGGCCAGGAAGGGGGTCTAAACACCTGGTCAGCATGTGGTTAAAGTGTATCTCAAGTGTAGGGAAATTATAGGAGGACCCGTTTGGGAGTGCGGTCATTAAAGCGAACCTTTACACTCAAAAATCATATTCTACCAATGCACCCCTCTATGTAAGATTAATAATAACATAAACATGTCAGGTGTAAAATACTGTGATTTTGAAACGCTTACACTTGCGGAGCATTCACTTCCTGCTTTGAAAGGGCAAAATGACCAGTTTTCTCAAGCGTAGCATCCTGGGAAGGTTACATCAGAAGAGCATTGCTGGGAAATCTCATCTGTAATCCCATGAGATCTCAGGGAAAGGCATTTTCTTCCCCTGAGATGATGTACATAGTCACATGTTCTAGTCATGTGCCAGATTTTCAGGAAGTAAAGGGAGAGCTAGTAATCTGTCAATAGACTGGGGAAGGAAAGAGAAATAAGGCATGCACAGAATACAAAGCCTGAAATTATCTAGAAGTATGTGTTTTTAGATTGTCATTATTAAACATTTCTAAAGGTGTGTTTGTTATTTTAAGGATATGAGTAAAGATCAATTAGAGCCTACCAGGTATGGGAACTCTTAACAAAGGTAAATGGAAAATTAAATAAAAGGGCAATGCTACCAATTACATTGCAGAACTGCATTAATTTATGTTAGGTAAATCTGCTTGGAGTTGAGCTTTACCATTAGACTTAAAGAATTAGAAATGAAAAATGAATTAGAAATGTTGCAAATTTACCACTAAAAAATAGGAGCCAATCACAAACAAATAAATCTTTTAACTAGCACTTGGTGAAGCTGATGTATAAAATAGGCGTTTGTCTTTTTTACAGTAAAGTTTATCATGTGAAATAGAGCTCTGCTAAGCTGTCTGTTGACATTTCTTACTGATTTGCTTCTTTTTTTCATTTAGCTCAGCAATTTGATGCTAATTTTTTTTTATTAAGTATGTGTCATTCACTTGTGTATAATTTTAATCTTAAGTATGGATCAAAATGGATTAGCCTCTGCACAAAGCTGCACAGTTCCAAAGTCTTTAAATTATTTTATTAACTTGGCTACATGCCATGGTACAGATGACTCAGTATAGAATGCTTTTAAAATATACATATCCTCACACTTTCTAATGACATTGAAAACGGAGACACATTTTCTTAATATCTGTCTGCCTGAAAGAAAATAAATTCACCTGGTCCATGACTTGGCACATTTAGATAATGAAATCAAATTAATTATTCCACTAGTGTAACTTATGCTTGCCATTTTTTATCATAATGAATGCGTATCATTTTATTATTTTAAGAACACCACTGCAGAAAAATGCAAAACATTGCCAGAAAATTGCCTAATAAATTTCAAATATGAAAAGGGATATATTGGCAGTTCTGCTCTACGTATATAAATGTAAGAGCTTTAATTAGTGCAGATGGTGCATTTTCTAAGTAACAGCATAGTTATCATTTAGTTTACAGTGTGTCAGACCCAGGAGTATGTTTTTGTATTTGAGGATATATATGGTTGTAAACTTTAGCAAAAAAAGAAAAAAATCTTCATCCCATTTTTCAATTAACCAATAATAATGGTTCACTTTTTTTATCTCATGAAGTAATGCCGAATCTGTCAACTGATTTTCTGATTTACATTTTCCAGATTAAAACAAAATTACTGTATTTAGAAATCCATGTATAAGTGCACAGATGGCTTACATGGGCAATGTAATATAGGTTACATAATGATGTCCTGCTTTGCGGTAGGCTATCATGTAAATATGGTCTTTTATTAATCCTTTCATTACTTCTTACATAAGATATAAAAAACGTTGTTGGTGGGCAGACTTGATTTTAACCTAGGTTTATTTGGTGCTTGCAAACAGGGAAGTGTTGATTAACTCTTGCATGCAATAACTCATACCCTGAGCAGAATGCATTCTGTTCCAAGTGCATCTGGAAGAGGATATGCCTGTTTATTAGCCCCAAGTAAACTAGTCTAATATTTACCAAAATTCTGGTAATTTATTTTGACCTAAATATAGTGCTAAAATTTACAATTTGCAAAATTTTAAGGTAAAGCTGACTTCCATCTTCCAAATATTTGCAAGCACATATACAAGTTTTTAATTTTCTTTGCCCGTGATTGGTTCTTCTTTGCAAAGTGAAGAAAACCCAAAGTCTTCTGATGGAAAGGAATAGCTCTATCAGGACGATCTCTTTGCTGGATTATTAATTCATATAAGAATCCAGAGTCTGGCCCTCTATCTCTAACTATAACTAAAATATCTATTTTTGTTAGACTAGCTCTTTAACTTAATTTTTGATGTCATACACTCTAGTTATATTTCAGCAACAGTATAGGAAAAGGCTGATTGTGTATCGTCACATCTGTGGAGGAGCACAGTCTCGGCTTCTGTGGAAGTTCATTAGATACTCTTGTTTGTTATAATTCATCTTTTTTTGCAGGTGGGTTGATAAATGAGAGAAGATGAGCCACCTCAGGTCTCTTGCGGTTAAACTGAAGCCATGTGGCTTTGGTTTGCTGGTGAGGTCAACTGTTAACGCCAAGACATTGCCACCAAGATGTTGTGTTTATTCTTCTGGAGCCAAAGAGCCGTTTTTAAGTGGAACCAACTCAAGTTATGTAGAAGAAATGTATTACGCATGGTTGGAGAACCCGAAGAGTGTTCACCAGGTAAACTGACATTTTTATTGGCATCTGAAAAAGAACTTTCCTTACAGCAGGTTCTGTTACAAAAATGGTATGCCTTCTTAAAAAGAGAAAGAAAACCATTGATAAATCTGCATACACATCCATATCCATCTAACATAAAATAAAAAATGAAAATTAAGATATTCTGGATTAGCGTATGCTCCGGTAATACACTATATTGCCAAAAGTATTGGGACACCTACCTTTGCACGCACATGAACTTTAATAGCATCCCAGTCTTAGTCTGTAGGGTTCAGTATTGAGTTGGCAAACCCTTTGCAGCTATAATAGCTTCAACTCTTCTGGCAAGGCTGTCCACAAGGTTTAGGAGTGTGTCTATGGGAATGTTAAACCATTTTTCCAGAAGCGCATTTGTGAGGTCAGGTACTGATGCTGGACGAGAAGTCCTGGCTCGCAGTCTCCGCTCTAATTCATTCCAAAGGTGTTCTATTGGGTTGAGGTGCAGGCCAGTCCAAGTTCCTCCACCCCAAACTCGCTCCTCCATGTCTATATGGACCTTGCTTTGTGCACTGGTGCGCATTCATGTTGGAACAGGAACGGGCCATCCCTAAACTGTTCCCACAAAGTTGGGAGCATGAAATTGTCCAAAATGTCTTGGTATACTGATGCCTTAAGATTACCCTTCACTGGAACTAAGGGGCCAAGCCCAACCCCTGAAAAACAACCCCACACCATAATCCCCCCTCCACCAAACTTTACACTTGGCACAATGCAGTCAGGCACGTAACGTTCTCCTGGCAACCACCAAACCCAGACACGTCTATTAGATTGCCAGACAGAGAAGCGTGATTTGTCACTCCAGAGAACATGTCTCCACTTCTCGAGTCCAGTGGCGGCGTGCTTTGTAAGGCTTGGATGTAGCTGCTCGTCCATGTAAACCCATTCCATGAAGCTCTCTACGCACTGTTGTTGTGCCAATCTGAAGGCCACATAAAGTTTGGAAGTCTGTAGTTATTGACTAGGCAGACAGTTGGTGACTTCGGAGGCACTGTGCGCTTCAGCAGTGCTGACCCCGCTCTGTCATTTTACGTGGCCTACCACTTTGTGGCCGAGTTGCTGTTGTTCCCAGTTGTTCCCAGTTGTTCCCACTTGCTTCCACAGCAAGGACATTTCACGGAACACCTGAATCCAATGATTTGGAGGGGTGTCCCAATACTTTTGGCAATATAGTGTAATTCTGAAACTCAGATAGTCATACCGTGTTTCCCCGAAAGTATCTTTAGGGATTTCTGTAATATAAGACCTACCCCGAAAATAAGACCTAGTTAGGCCGCAGCTCCCTCACGCCCGCCCGCACGCCTGGCTCCCTGGACGGCAGAGCGGACAGCTGCAGCCAGGTAAGACATCCCCCGAAAATAAGACCTAGTGTCTTTTTTCGTAGAAAAAAAAATATAAGACACTGTCTTATTTTCGGGAAAACACGGTAAATCCCCTCTCAAAGATCCTATCCGTGAAAAAGACCCAGATGTTTACAGAACATATAAAAAAATAATATATTTTATATTACAGTTAAAATGGCTATTAACTAAAGAAATCCAAATTGTTCTTTTATTATGGAAAAAAAAAAAGATAGCAAACATTTTACTGGTTATATTAAGGTAATCTAAAGGGGTTTCTAACTGTGGATGCATTATATTTAGGAGTTTCTATGAGAAAAATTTGGTCATCCTCAAGGCTGGGACAGAAGCTTCCTTCCCTTAATCCCCATCATCCTTCATCTTTTCTTCTATCCCATGTATTCTATCATCATCATCTTCTTTATTATAAGTTTACATGCAGTATCCGGATTGTTTAAACATATTTGGTATTGAAGAATATAGTAAAAATAACAAAATATAATTGATAATCAGATAACATAATGTGCAGCACTTGTTTCCATTGAACCGTTTTTGGTACTGTTGGTATGTGGGGGTACCTGTAGCAGGTATCTAAATAGGATCAGGTTCAAGTTTATCAATAACACTTTTTGGTGTGTAGTTTCAATGCTGGGGTTGCCTGTTTATCCCTTTTTGAAGTGTGTGTCAAGGGAAAATAGAAAAAAAAATTAAATCAAAACATATACAGTACAACCTTGCAATACATGCACATTTCTCCTCCTTCTACTATTCCTCTATTCCTCTATGTTACATAAAAGTCGCACTAATGCGATAATCAGCACACTTTATTATATTTTGCAGTAAATAAATGGTGTTGCGAAAATTAGGTAATTGTTGTGTTGGGAAGAATTACAGGAAAATTCCTTTTTTCATATTTTTTTATATTTTTTCACAATAAGCAATAAACATATGTATTAAAATTTGCAACCAAATTAAAGCCTGGTCTGTCTTGGAAAAAAACCACATATAATATGTTACAGTACACTTCTAAACCTAAAGGTCAAATCGTCAAAATGAAAAAAAAAATCCTCTGGGGCCTAGGCACTCAAGTGGTTAAATACCCTGCAAATGCAGAAAAATACCTGTTGATCTGCCAGGAATGCATTCAACTACGAAGTCATATTGTAGGCTGACAACACACAGCATTTTTGTGAACTGAATAGTGTCAGCCCTGTCTAATGTCTCTTGCTAAACCACTCTTCCCAATCTCAAGATCTCTACATCGCTTCTTAGCCTCCCATGTGATGGCAATAAAGTTGTGTAAAAAAAAAAAGTAATACAAAAATTAAAGAATGATAAAAAAATAAAAAAATATATATTTTTAAAAGTCCTCCGCCCACACATACACATGCAGATATGCGTCGGGTGCGCCTACAGGCGAAAACAACGATTGCGCCTAGTGTGCCGCACATGTTTTATATAACTGCGAACGTCGGAGTGTGAGCAATAATTTTAGGGCCATGAAATACTGATAACACTAAACTGATGAGCGTTAAAAGCGTTTTAGGCGTCGCCTATGGTCAATTTACAGTGTGGTCGTTTTTTTGTGATTTTTGCGGGCGCACGCAATTTTTAGGCTTGACATGCTTGGTGTCTATTTACCCGACGTGACCCCGTCTTTTTATGTTTTACCAAAAATATGGGTAAGAATAGATGTTTTATACCATAACTTAGGGAAGCTTTTTTTTTTTTTTTTAATTTACTGTACTTTTTTCAGTTATGTAGTAAAAAAAAAACCCCACCGTGGTGATTTTATATACCACCAAAAGAAAGCTCTATCTGCCCCCCAAAAATGTTGACTGGTGACATTTTTGACTGCCTGGTGAGACACCCTAACATTTTCCAAGCCCTGGTTATGTATAAAAGTAAAATATTTCCGATGAACAATATTCCTTATTAATGTTTCGAACTTGGGATGCAAGACTTGTATTGTATTAATGTTTGCGTCTCTTTCATTGTGGCCCCATTTATAAAATGACCTTTATGAAATGAGTTTATAGTTCAGGGTATTTTATTGAACGTCTTGCTTTTATTCAAGAGTAATTTCCAGTATTGGCATTGTTCTCCTGAAAGCTTATTCTTTAAAATATTTCAGGCCTGATGGCAAAATCTTCCATTAACTCTATTTATGACAGTGATGTATTTCTGTCTGAATGCTGCCGCAGTTTTGTAACCAGCTCAACATGACTTTAAGCACTTTCATTCCAGTGATCCTTTGTCTGGGGCATATTAATTCTATTTGGAGACATGATTCAATCCAGTAATCAATCTTTGCAGCCCAGTAAGCGCCTTCATTTGTCTGGATGGTCAGTTCTCCTTTCTACAACTTGATCCTTCCTCCATGAGAGTATTGTGTAGCTGCATCATAAACTGTAGATATGCTGTTGTCTTTGCAGTTGATTTGCCCTCAATGCAGAATGAGCCTCATTCACTTGGAGACTTATCCATATTTATAGTGACTCTATGTTCTTGTCTACTGTATATTGATTTACCTGCCAGCTCAGAATGTAAAAAAGATGTGCAAGGGTTTAAAAGATATTTGTGTATAATTTTTGTCACAAGGAAGAATAGACTGCTTCTTTACCTGAATTTTAGTGTATATGACATTCGTTACCTTGAGTATTTTCCACCTTTGCAGTCAACTTTGAGAAACCCCACCACTAAGTTTTGTGTCCAATTCATGCAGTATACCAAAAATATATATTTTTATAACACATTTCTTAAATTTTTTAGTTGTTTCTTTGGAGCAAGATTATACATAGGACTATATACATGTACTGTGGGCAGCTTCTATTGGTTTGAAAAGATGGCAGTGTGGAGATAAAGCACAGTCTAGAGCAGGGGTGCTCATAAGGTCGATCGCAATCCACTAGTGATCGCGTAGCGATCACTGGTAGATCGCGATGTCCTGTCTTCTCTGGATCCCCGCTGCTCTCCCCCATCTGTATGCAGCGGGGATCCGATGAAAAGTGAAGCTGCAGTCGGGGGCAGGGGGATGGAGCCTCTATCACAGCAGCACGGTGAGGAGAGAGCCGCTCGGTCTGGATCTGACAGCCGCCGGCTCTCTCTCGCCTCACCGCACATGCTGCTCTGGCTTCTTCCGGCTGCACTCTGTACAGAGGCTCCTCCCCATTCAGAAACTGGATGATAGTAAAATATTTTCTGAATGAATGGGAAGCCTCTGTGCTTCCCATTCATTTAGAACAGAGGCTGCAGAAAAAGAGATTGAGGACTTTGTGTCCTCAAATTGTTTTTCTATTTTAAAAGGGAAATATCAGGGGGCTGTTTAGACCCCTAATATTTCCCCGAAGCCCAACAACAGTAAAAAAAAATATTAAAATTAAAAAAATTAAAAAAATTAAAATTAAATACAAAATAGTAAAAAATGAAATAAAAAATCCATGTGATCTGCACAAATAGTGCTCGCAGCATTTTGCAGATCGCACTGGACCGGAACGCAGGCACTAATGTGCCTGGGTTCCGGGTGCAGGCGATCACACTGTGGTCGAGGGGCCGGGCTGTGGTGCCATTGACTTCAATGCACCGCCCCTGAACGCAGGTGTTTTTTCGTTGGTAGATCTCATT